TTCCTGCCCTCCCTTCTCATGATCTGCCCAACTTCACAGAATCCCTCTTTTAATTTCGACCCATTGGTTCTGGTCTGATCTTCCGGGACCACTGTACAGGGATATAACACTAATTGCACATCCAATCCCCCCAACACACACATACACGGACCACTTCTACCCACCTGCTTCCCAAAAAGCCATTGTTTTCCCCTAAGGCGCTACACCAATGCAGGCGCTACACCAATACACCAAGGAAATCATTACCTACTTCTTTCTTTTCCCATACCTATCAGGCTGCTTTTCTGATCTGGAAATGGACTTTTCTGGGGAGGGGGCATGGCTCAGTGGCAGAGCATCTGCTTGGCATGCAGAACATACCCGGTTCAATTCCCGGCATCTCCAGTTGAAAAGATCAGGCAGTAGGTGATATGAAATACCTGTACCTGAGACCCTGGAGAGCCACTGCCAGTCTACTGAAAAATATTTAAGGTGATAACTGTGATGCTAGATCAGTGATGGCTTCTTCGTACATATATGTCTCCACCTGATGGAGGCCAATGGAACCAATTATCCCAGAGTGGTGGTTGGGCTCTTACTGAAGGCCTTCAAGTCAAGGTTGGACAGCTACCTGTGAGGGATGCTCTGGCTTTGACTCTCTTGCAATGAACAGGGGAGGGGGCATGGCTCAATGGTAGAACATCTGCTTTGCACCCAGGAGGTCCCAGGTTCCATCCCCAGCATCTCCAGTTAAAAGGACCAGGCAGTAGGTGATGTGAAAGACCTCTGCCTCAGACCCTGGAGAGCCACTGCTGGTCTGAGTAGACAATAATGACCGTGATGGACCAAAAATGTCTGATTCAGGACAAGTCAGTTTCATGTGTGTCCAGTTGGGAAGATGGCAAATAGTCATCAATAAAATGATCATCACCGAATCCATCTATTCTCATTGTAATTTTGGGGAGGGACTGTAGCTCTGGAGTAGCACATCTGTTTGGCATGGAGAAGGTACCAGGTTTGATTCCCAGTTGTTGTTGTTCAGTCGCACAGTCGAGTCCGACTCTTCGCGACCCCATGGATCATCTCCTGCCAGGCCCAGTATCTCCAGTTAAAAGGACCAGGCAGTAGGTGATGGGAAAGACCTCAGCCTGAGACCTTGGAGAGCTGCTGCCAGTCAGTGTAGACAATATGTTGTCGAAGGCTTTCACAGCCGGAGTTCATTAGCTGTTGTAGATTTTCCAGGTTGTATGGCCGTGGTCTTGGCATTGTAGGACCTGACGTTTCGCCAGTAGCTGTGACTGGCATCCTCAGAGGTATAATACAGAAAGACGGAGTACTCTCTGTGTCAAGGTGAGAAGAAAAATGGTAGGCAGGTCTTATCTGTAGTGCTATTCCGACAAGAATAAAATAACATGAAAGACACTGCAGACTTGGCCAACCTGAAAAATCAGCAGTGGCTGAACATAGCCTAGCTCAAACAGGACACAGTATTTTGTTCCAAGACACTGAAAGGCTGGACGACACATCCAGTTACCATGTCAGATTACACAGGGAAGCCATTGAAATTCATAAACATAAACACAATTTCAACAGGAAAGAAGAGAGTTTAAAAATAAATAGGGCATTGTTTCCTGTCCTGAAAAACACAAAAGGCTCTACATCTGACAATAGGACTACAAATAAGATTAGAATCCACATGCAAAAGAACCTCCTCAGGAAATAGGAAACCTCCCCAGGAAACAATCCATATACAAAAGAATCTCCTCAGGAAAGCTCCTCCATTACTATGTTCACAGCCTGGGGAACTTACAACAGTCCTTCTCAGGCTGCAGCACTGGAAATGGGTTTGGCAGCAGCACGAGCTTCTCTTTGAGTGCCAAAGGGGAAGGCACAAAACCCGAGGCCTCCTACTTGCGCCCGCAGAGAACCTGTGGCTAGAGAAGTGCTGTTAGAGAAAATGAAAAGAACCCACGCTGTACTCTTAAATAGCTCCACAGTGCGCTGTAGCACAGAAGGTGGAAGCGCAAGGACTGGCTGCTTAGCTGGGATGAGGGTGAGATGGAAGATTAGGCTGTAAAAGAAAAGGGGGGGAACCTCTCTCCGAGTTTAGATTGGAAAGCAAACTGCTAGAGGGGAGATTAAGCAAACTGGAGGGGAGCCTTGAAAGCGAAGTGCTTTTCAGATGTTGAGTCATCTGTGGAGGCAAAAAGGCATTCCAAGCGTGGATTTCAAGGCTTCATCTTCCCCCATAAATTAGTTTAGGAGGAAGCTTGCTGCTGTGAACTCCCACTGGCAGTGAGCAACACTGGGCCCCAGTTAGAACCAAGCACTCCCAAGAAGCAAAGATCCTCCAGGCGCTCAGGAACCGACCAATCTCACCTCTTGCTGCCAGCAGGAGCTGTGGCTCCAACATACCAGCAAGGGCTGCAGCTGGATTGCGCCAAGGGAAAACGATCTCCACTCCCATGTGTCTGGCAACCAAGATAGTAGCCGAGGAATGGCTCATAACTTTGATGCTTCGGGAAGGAAACAGGCAGGAGGCCTATGATCCAAGCTGTGCCGTGGCCTGAACATGTAAAAGGAAGGCTTTCCTTTAGCTCACGGCCAGCTGTTGCCGCGTACGTGGCAAAAGCACAGTGGGATTTGCAGCAAAGTTTAAAGCAGGGATTGGCTGCAGTTGGCCCCCCACACCAAACTCTTGCCTAAGAAAGGGCTGGACTACCTCCTTCTACAGAATGGCTAGAGCTTTTGGAGAGCTGGGATTCAACAAATGAGTGACTGAAAGTATTGAGCTGCTTATAGAAGTATGAACAGTGACACAGACAACCTTTATTGGCATGTAAGATATAAGATTACATTGAAATTTAGGAATACATCAAAAGTATGGCTGTCGAACAGTACGAACAGTGTAGGCAGGGTGAACATTTTGATTCCTCTTGGATAACACTAGAACCTGGGGACACCTGATGAAAACTGAACGGCTGCAAGTTGCGTCATTAGGGGTGGAAAGGCCTGTCAAGTCACAGCTGACTTACGGCGACCCCGTAGGGTTGTCAAAACAAGAGACGTGCAGAAGTGGTTTGCCGTAACCTGCCTCCGCGTTGTGACTCTGGACTTCCTCAGTAGTCTCCCATTCAAATACTAACCGGGGACAACCAGGAAAGCTTAGCTTCCGAGTTCTGATTAAATCGGGCCAGCCTGGGCTATCCAAGTCTGGGTAAATGCATCAGTAGCTCATGGAAATCATGGCCACATTGTTAAGTCGCTCGCTTGACAAAGTAGTCGGAGAGTGATTCAGCAAGAATACAACTTTATTCTTCAACTCGAACACAACTCCAACACGGATCAACATCTGATAGCCAGAACAGCTTTTACATTGCAGCTGTCCTGCTTTTAAACATTCCCGGCTAATGTAGCCACACCCACTGTACAAATATCAACCTATGAGGTTGCAGAGATAAGGTCCAATCATATTAGTTCCCGCTCAGGGAGCTTGCTTGAAGTGATTGGCTTGTTACTTCCTGGGCTAGCAATACTATTGGATGGATTTGGATCCTAGCCCAGGACGAAGCTTAACATTACAGTTCAGTTAGATGTTTCACAACATGTCATGCATTCAAGGGAGCTTTGAATACACTACACACATAATAAGGGTAGTTATCTATTAATTTATTTATTTTATTTATACCCCGCCCTCCCCGCCGAAGCAGGCTCAGGGCGGCTTACAAATGATAAAACATAAGAACAACTATAACCAGTGTTTCCTCTAAGCTGAGTGAGTGTGAGCTAGCTCACAGTTTCTTAGCCACCGGCTCACACATTTTTGTCTTAGCTCAGGAAGGAGGGCTCCAGAGCAAACTGATTTATGCAGTAGCCAGATCGCTCGCTCACAACTTTAATGCCAGGAGCTCACAAAGTAGAATTTTTGCTCACAAGACTCCACAGCTGAGAGGGACCATTGATTATAACATAAATAAAACCATCTAAAACAGTCCAATATCATAATATCATAAAGTGCTAGCTAGTTGTAAACTAATACATTAGGGATGGTGGCAACAGTTATGTTAATATGATCTCTGGCCTGCCTCTGTCTTAGATTTTAAAAACACTCTGACCAAGTCAGGGTAAGACAGATCTATCCACTGCTGCTCAGTGATAAAAGGAACTTCCACATCCAGAAGTGGTATACTCCTGCATACTGATGCTAGACACATTTACTTGTTCGATTTATACCCCACCGTCCCCGCCAAAGCGGAGAATACTGCACACCATAGTTTTTCCAGCAGACTTTTAGAACTTCAGTAACTATTGTTATTGGTTGTTGAATGGATAGTAAATTTTGCTACTTGTAAGCTGTTGAGTGGGGGAAATCTAAGCTAGTACAAGAGAAATATTATAATATTGGGGGCTAGCCAAGCCTCTCAGATCAGTTCATTGAGTTTTCCCACATGATTGAACTGGTCTCTCCCCACCTTGACTGACGACCTTTGAGTTAAAAAAAAGAAGATGGGGATTCTGGACTGAGTAAACATGCATATATCTTATAGGTCTTATGTGATCTTGAGAACTAAGTTTGAGTCTAGTGGCACCTTGAGAGCCAGTTTGGTGTAGTGGTTAAGTGTGCGGACTCTAATCTGGGAGAACCGGGTTTGATTCCCCACTCCTCCACTTGCACCTGCTGGATGACCTTGGGCAAGCCATAGTTCTCTCAGAGCTGTCCTTGAAAGGGCAGTTCTGGAAAAAGCTCTCTCGGCCCCACCTACCTCACAGGGTGTTTGTTGTGGGGAGGGGAAGGGAAAGGAGATTGTAAGCCGCTCTGAGACTCCCTTGGGTAGTGAAGGGCGGGGTATAAATCCAATCTCCTCCTCCTCCACCACCTTTAAGACCAACAAAGTTTAATTCTGGGTATAAGCTTCAGTGTGCCTGCACACTTCTTCGGGTTTAGAGAAGTATTTCAAGGACGCAAAAGCTAGCACATCTGTATTCATGAAGATGACTTGTGCTTTCCCCCTTCCTTTCAGCTGACTGCCAAAAAAAAGTACTGACAGAAAGATCCGGAGAAATCTCCAGCCCAAATTACCCCAACCCGTATCCCAAACTCTCCCTCTGCAGTTATCGCATTCAAGTGGAAGAGGGTTTCATGATCATCCTGGAATTTGTGGGAAAGTTTGAAATCGAAACCCACCCGGAAGTACCATGCCCCTATGACATCCTCAAGGTCAGTTGGATTCGCATTCCAGGTTTGTCTTATTAATGCGCGTACTCTTTGCACAGCACCAATGCTGGCCAGAAGCAGACATGGCAAACCCACACAGCCAACAAAATGCACGGCTACTGCAGTTCGCCTACATGCAAAGTATGATTGATAATAGTTTTTAAAATATATATATATTTCATTCTCCTTTACAGGAACGTTTCATTTTACCTTTTTCATTGGCATTCAGAAGATCTGATAGGTAGGGGAATTTAATTATCGTTTATATCACATGAAGCTGCCTTGTACTGAGTCAGACTCTTGGTTCATCAAGGTCAGTATGGCCTACTCAGACTGGCAGCCGCTCTCCGGGGTCTCAGGCAAAGGGCCTTCACATCACCTCTTGCATGATCCTTTTTAACTGGAGATGCCGGGGACTGAACCGGGGACCTTCTGCATGCAAAGCAGAGGCTCTCCCCCTGAGGCCTTTCCCCCTACATCACATTTGTGCAAACTATTTAATCCATTTTATCTTAATTACAGTCCTAAGGCTGAAAAAAAGTACAGCCCAGGTATCTCCTATCTGTTGGAAACTCTTACAACTACTATAACCGACTGGCATTCTCAGAGTTTGTATGGGTGTGTATATACGTGCATACAGACACACACAGAATAATACTCTGCCCAACATTCCTTGTGTATGTTATAATCTTACACTAGTCTGGTAGAGTGGTTAAAGTGGTACTGTCTAGGACTGGGGATACAAAATGGTGAAGTTTAGTGGACAAAATCAAGTGGTCCCTGATTCAGTCTATACTACAAACCAGATGGCCAGTTTGGCGTCGTGGTTAGGAGCGCGGACTCTAATCTGGGAGAACTGGGTTTGATTCCCCACTCCTCCGCTTGCAGCTGCTGGATGACCTTAGGTAAGCCATAGTTCTGTCAAAGCTGTTCTCTCAAGGACAGTTATGGAAAGAGCTCTCTCAGCCCCACCTGCCTCACAGGGTGTCTGTTGTAGGGAGGGGAAGGGAAAGGAGTTTGTAAACCGCTCTGAGACTCCAAGTGTAGGGCGGGGTAGAAATCCAATCTCCTCTTCTCTCTCTCTTCTTCAGATGGCTACAGGCTGGTCACTCTCTCTCAGTCCTTACCCCACCCCCAGTTTGCACTGACGTACCTTATAGTGCTATTGTGAAGATCACAAAATAACATATAAAAATCCCCTTGAACCCTTAAGTCTACTCTGCCGTGAAAATCAGTGGGTGACCGTGAGCCCCCCTCTCCTCCTTAGCCTAACCTATTTCATAGCATTGTTGGGACAATCAAACAGAAGAGTGGGAAATGGTGCTCCTTAAAGAGAGCATGCCTGCAGAACACAAAAAATATTTGGAAGGGAAGAAGGGGTCACGCCAACTGGAGCCACTTGATAGATCTCTGTCATTCAGGTCTAGTCAATGGCGCCAACCCAAGACAGTCGCATCTCTTCCACCTGCTCTCTTAAGGATCCCATTTATGATGATCAGTTCTTTGATTCGATTTCCCAGTCATTTGTTGCTCTGAATCACTGATTACGATTTCTTAAATTGGTTATCCTCCCTCCAAGGAAATCCTTCATTTTAACCAGTCTTGGGATTCATTACTTGACTCACAACTTGCCATATTAGCATTCCTAGTTTAGTTTTTATACTAGCATTGTAATCCCCATCAATTGCCATCAGTTTTCAGAGTGATTTGGGAGGTATCGCAAGCTAGTCACTATGGGACACTTGCTGCCATGTGCTTGTGAATTCTTGGAAACGAGTGGAAGTCCCACAAGCATTTTGAACACTAACAGCTTGATAAAGATATTGATTCGAAACAGGCCTGTCGTGTATTACAAACCTTGACATCTTCATGCTCCAAGGGACTTGTCTTCAGCTGTCGCAGAGAATATTTCTTCCTGTTCTTTCAGCCTGAGAGGATTGTTTATTGGCTCAGTCCCTTTAAGATTCTATTTCAGCAGGGTTTATTTCCCGCTTGTAATTTGTATCTCCTTTAATGTAGTAACGCACTTTGTAGCTTGCATGTTAGTTTATATAATATCACTATAAATATTTTTGTAAAAAACAGATCCTGTTTACACTCTTCAAGGTTGCTTTTGTATTTTTGGTTGACCACCTGGGGCTTGACAACTCTAGCTGTAAAGCATGCAAAACAAAGAAAAGTGAAAATTTATGTTGTCTGTATAGTTTATCAGTTTCTGGTTTCTAGCTGCAAAATTTATTTACTTTTCCCACCAGTCTTTTTCTCATAACTCTCATTATGAAACGGCATTTGCCACTTTATACCGTGGGGACAGGAGGAGGGTTTCTTCCCCCCGCTTCAGTTCCTTCCAGCAGCACTGCAAAATGAATTGGCAGCTTGGGCTCTTTGCAGCTGCCAATTTTCCCCATTTTTAAAAAAGGTTGTTCTTTTGTTTTAAACTGATTTTATAATTTAGTAAACCACTTGAGGTGCCTGGCAGGACATAAAGTCACGGATCAGTCATATTGCAGGCAGGGGGCACAGCAAGGGTGTGAGCTTTTCCTTTCTTTTCTTCAGTTCAAAACACCCAAAGGAGAATACGGGCCATTCTGTGGGGATACTCTCCCTCCAAAAATCGAAACCCGCAGCCATATTGTGGATATCCAGTTCACCACAGACTTGTCTGGAGCTCATGCTGGATGGAAAATCAAATACACGACGACAGGTAGGTCATCTTGGACGTGCGGCGGGCCATGGCGGAGCTCAGTGCTTCCCAAGGGCAGATCTCAAGACTCCTTTCTCACGTGCAGAATGAGGTGACAGAATCACAAGGCGGTGGGGTGGACTGTCACACTGCAGGTGAGGTGACAGATGTTGCTTTCAAAACGCACCATCAAAAATAAGAAGAGGGGGATCGCAAAGCTCCAGAGGTAAAGGGTTCTGAGGTGGCTGGAGCCCTCCTTCCCCCATCAGCCAAGATACATGTGGTTTAAAAGCGCCTCACTGATCCACATTGGTTTCCCACCTTTACTTCCTTGGATTCCAGTTGCTCCTTTGTCCTAAAAACTGTTCACGAGATGTGGTTTTAGGAGGAGGGTCAGAGGTGTCTGGCTGTATTCCTTTTCTGGAGACAGTCTTGGGGTCGTAGTTTTACAATCTAGAGAGCCTTATATGAAACCACAGGATGCATCCCAGTGTACAAGAGCCACACAGCCACCTCTGCGGAGAAATACTGGAGCCCAGGTTGGGAAAGAAGTAAAGGAAGTTCAGAAGGGAAACAGAAGCTTTGAAGAAGTCTGACAAAATGCTGCTCCAAGAGAATTCTTAGCACCCTCTCCAACAAGAGTTCCCAGGATTCCTAGAGTCCAGGGCAAGCCATGACAATTAAACCAATCTGTTTGTGATGTGAATAGGTGGGCCGTGCATTCTGCTAGCAGCCGGCCACGTTAAAGCTGCAGAACTATCATAATTCAATTTCCATGATCATCACGACACAGGCGAAGGATAGCCAGTGGCTTTTGGCGTGTGCACAGAGAGCTGTTAAGTCCACTTTTTCAAACAACAAATGTTCATCTTTCTGCAGCTTTGCCGTGCCCCGTCCCTCAAGCGCCACCCCATGGACAGATCCAACCAATACAAGCAAAATATATCATGAAAGACTCCTACAGTCTCTCCTGCACTGTTGGCTATGCACTCTTGGAAGTAGGTAAAAACTCCTTGTTTTTCTCATTGTCATCTCTCGTATAGATTTGTGAGTTGTGAATTTACTAAACATGTGCCAAAGCAGTCATTCTGGGAATTTCTCAGAACTCTCGTCACCACCAAGCACGCACTAAGCTACCCAACGGGCAAACAGTTTCGGACTTGGTATCTGAAGAAATGTGCATGCACACGAAAGCTTATACCTTGAATTAAACTTTGTTGGTCTTGAAGGTGCCCCTGGACTAAAACCTAGTTTCAGACTTAAGTGGGGACGGAAGGGAGAAAGATCCGTGGCAAGACAAGACCCTCTTGGATATTTTCAGAATTAAATTTACTCTGCACGTGGAAAGCATTTTTAACTCCTCAAAACACCTAGAGATATAGGTGCTCCTGATGAGCAGTTATATTTGAAACCTCCCAAGGTGTGTGGATGGGGGGATAGCCCTCTCCTGTCTCCTCTGAGTCTTCTGTCTCTGTTATCAAAGCATACCAGGTAAGAAAGCACTAAGAGTCCTGTTTAAACCTGTCCAGCTTTCTTAATATGACCTTATCCACTCAGCCTTACTATTTCCCATGCCAGAACCCCCTCTCAGAACTGCTGGATGACCTCAGGGTCAGTGTTCCCTCTAAGCTGAGTTGGTGTGAGCAAGGTAAAAGGTAAAGGTTTCCCTTGCTCGAAAAACCAGTTGAATCCAACTCTAGGGATGCAGTGCTCATCTTCGTTTCCAAGCCGAAAAGCCAGCACTGTCCAAAGACGTTTCTGTGGTCATGTGGCTGGCATGACTCGATGCCAAGGTGCACAGAATGGTGTTACCTTCCCACCGAAGTGGTACCTATTTATCTACTTGCAATTTGCTTTCGAACTGCTAGGTTGGCAGGAGCCAGGGCCAGAGACGGGAGCTCACTCTATCATGCAGCACTCAGGTCTCGAACGGCTGAACTACTGACCTTCTGGTCTGCAGCTCAGCGTCTTAACCACTTGAGCCACTGCAGCCCCTTATAGTGTGAGCTAGCTCACAGTTTTTTAGCTTCTGGCTCACACATTTTTGTCTTAGCTCAGGAAGGTGAGCTCCAGAGCAAACTGATTTATGCAGTAGCCAAATCGTTCGCTCACAACTTCAATGCCAGTAGTTCACAAAGTAGAATTTTTTGTTCACAAGACTCCACAGCTTAGAGGGAGCATTGCTCGGGGTAATCATTTTCTCTAACCAAACTCTCAGGGGGTGTCGTGAGGATAAAATGGGGACGGCAGAACCATGCACCTTGCCTAAACTTCTTGGAGAAAGGGTGGGAATAAAAATGTATTAAATTAAGAAGCACTAAACTACTTTTCCCCCTGTTGTGATCTTCCTGGATAACAATACACCCTCCCAACAGCTACAAACCTCCTGCAGGCAAAAGTGACAGGCCGCCGTGGGTTGTACACAACTTTTGTTTTGGAAATGTACCTGGAGAAAGGGATAATCCCAGCACAGCATCCCCAATACAAATTAACACACACACCTGCTGCTTTTATGTGAAATTAGTGATTGGGAAAGCCGACCACTCCTCTTTTGCATCTTGCCTAGCTTTGATCTGCTCTGATTAGACCTCACCTGAAGTACTGTGTTCAGTTTTGGGCACCACAGTTTAAGAAAGATGAAGACAAGCTGGAATATGTCCAGAGGAGAGCAACAAAGATAGTGAGGGGTCTGCAGACCAAGTCCTATGAGGAAAGGCTGAAGGAGCGGAATACGTTTAACCTAGAGAGGAGACGACTGAGAGGGAATATGATAACCATCTTTAAGTTCTTGAAGGGCTGTCTTATAGAGTATGGTGAGTTGTTTTCTGTTGCCCCGGAAGGTCGGATCAGAACCAACAGGTTGAAATTAAATCAGAAGCGTTTTCAGCTCAACATTAGGAAGAACTCCCTGACAGAGTGGTTTCTCAGTGGGACAGGATTCCTTTGGAGGTCTTCAGAGGCTAGATGGCCATCTGACAGCCATGCTGATTGTGTGGATTTAGGCAGATCAGAAGGGTTGCATCAGTGGTTAGTTCACGTGGCCCTTTCTTACATGCCCAGGGAAATGCTGATGGTCACTTTGGGGTCAGGAATCAAATTTCTCCACTTGGGGTCAGGAATCAAATTTCTCCAGGCCAGTTCGGCCAGGGATTCTGGAAGGGTTTTTTTTTTTTTGCCATCTTCTGGGCATGGAGGAGGGGTCGCTGGGTGAGTGTGTGGGGGGGAGGGATTTGTGAATTTCCTGCATTGTGCAGGGGGTGGACTAGATGACCCTAGAGATCCCTTCCAACTCTATGATTCGAAGAGCCCCCTGTGGCTCTGTCACCTACAAAGCCCTTAAAGGCAGTGAACCCATGTACCCGCAGGACCAGCTCTCCTGCTATGATCCACTGAGACAGCCCCACTCATGAGCAAAGCCTTCCGAAGATGCCACCTTGCGAGCAAGTAAAATTGGCATCTGCCCGCGTAGGGATAGTCTTTCCTACACTGATTGTACTGTTGCCTTAAACAGACACATTTACATGTCTTGTTAGCTTCTCCCCCTTCTACTGTTCTAGAAACCCAGCCCAACTCCCATTTCTTTGCCTTCCTACAGAACTTTGCTGTTAGACTGATGTTATCATACCTTGTAATCTGCTTAATGAGAAGTTTTATCATACTTTTAATGTGTTCCCTCTAAGCTGAGTTAGTGTGAGCTAGCTCAGTTTTTTAGCCTCCGGCTCGCACATTTTTTTTTTTTTTAAATAATATTTTTATTAGGTTTTTTCACATTTATATTTACATCAATAATTATAATATCTCATTTCATCCCATTATCACCTTATTCTACCAAAACTCCCTTCAGAACAACACCAATACAAACAGTTATAATTACTTTTTCCTTCATAATCTTTAACAAACCAACAGTTCTCAAATATCCAGTACACACATCCAATAATGTGCCTTTTATGACTGTAATCTCTAAAGATATTAAACCAACTATCCCTCCTATTCATCATCGCACATTTTTGTCTTAGCTCAGGAAGAATGGCCCCAGAGCAAACTATTTTACACAGCAGCCAAATCGCTCGCTCAGAACTTTAATGCCAGCAGCTCACAAAGTAGAATTTTTGCTCACAAGCCTCCGCAGCTTGGAGGGAGCATTGCTTGTAATCCATCTTGAGTCCCAGTAAGAAAAGTGGACGATAAATTAAAATATTGTTATTTATCCTGAGGCCCTTTTCCCAACGTGGCACCCGCCCTGTCTTTCAAAGAACTGGGCAAAGTCATTACCCTGTCAAGTTTCAGGCTAGTGCGGTTGGTTCCCACCTGGAAACAGCTGCCACCGGAGGGACTGGAGGGCAGGTAAGATTTAAGCATCCTTGAGGTGCCGGCTTCACGCCCAGGATGGAAAGGCCCCATCGTCTCTGACAACGCCCTTCCTCTGAAGTCCCCACTCCTCCACTTGTAGCTGCTGGATGGCCTGGGCAAGCCATAGTTCTGTCAGAGCTGTCCTTGAAAGAGCAGTTCTCTCAGAGCTCTCTCAGTCCCGCCTACCTCACAGGGTGTCTGTTGTGGGGAGGGGAAGTGAAAGGAGTTTGTAAACCGCCCTTGGACAGGGTATAAATCCAATCTCTTCTTCTTCTGTGGAGATGTGTGGATCTTTTAGCTGAAAGTAAATGTGAATACTTTTATGATGTGAAATGTGAAATGAGCACACACTGGAGAAGACCCTGATGCTGGGAAAGATTGAAGGTCAAAGAAGACAGGGACGGCAAAGGATGAGATGGTTAGACAGTGTCATAGATGCAACGAACATGAAATTGAGCAAACGTCAGAGGACGGCGGAAGACAGGAAGGCCTGGCATGATCTGGTCCATGGGGTTGCGAAGAGTCGGACTCGACTGTGCGACTGAACAACAGCAAAATGTGAATACAGCTCTCTGGGAGCCTCTGGTGTAGCAGTTGGATTCCCAGCCCTTCTCCATTCCAGAAGCAGCTTGCTCTCTTGCCTTACAATCATCGTTATTGATAACCTGCGGCAAATGCACATTTACAGACTGTACTAACCATTTCCCCCCGCTGGGGAACATTCATTTGGGCTGTCAGCTCCATGATTGTTTTCAAGAGAAAAAAATTAATGGTTTTGTGTTTTCCTCTCCATCCCACTACAGAATGAGCTGATTGTGAAATCCTCCACAGCAACATGTCAAAAGGACGGATCCTGGAACAAGCCGATGGCTCAGTGTACCAGTACGTCAATGCTAACGGATATTTCATGGAGGGGGGGGGGATCTTTGCATTTGCAACAATCAGTTGGATTACCGGTTTAATCTTTTTTTTTTTGCGGGGATCCATATTGTTTGATGCAGCGAAGCTCTTTCATTTTAGAAAAAGTAGGATGCGTGGGAGGTAAATGCATGTTTGAGCTGAAGCAGAATGAAACTGGCTTTAATGGGAATATTCTCAGCAGCAGCACAGACCAACAGGATCCCTGGCAGAGCTGCTACAACACTGTTAAGAAGTTGCCACCTTCAGTCCCTTTATTAGCCACAGAGCAGTCAGAAGTTCAACTTGGGCAGCTTTTCCTGGCAAGGGAGTACAGAGGTCAAGGAAGATGGACCACCAATATGATCCAAGAAGGCTCTTAGATTAGAACAAGGATGAGCAGGTAGAGTTCCAAAACTAGGGATGGGTGGTGATGGGGAGCAACCTTATCTTAAGTTGTGCATTCCGTAACAGCTTTATGGATTCGGTACCAACATCCCACTTCTGATGCTGCCAAGAGCGACCGGGACATTAGTCACAATTTAGCTGCTGTGCCAGAAAAATAATCTGCTTTAGATCACAACATAGGCACAGTGCCGTATCGCTCACGCTGTTGCCTGTCACTCTCCACCACCAGCATTTATCTGCCAGCAGAACCATTTAAGATAAATTTTACAGGAACTAGTTGCTAGATTGCAGTTTTAAAAACAAGATGTGCACGCTCAGGATTTTCATGGCTGAACTGTGCTGGCCCCAAAGCCCACATGCGCAGCCTGCACTGATATTTCAGCAGAGAACATGCATACTTCAGTCTGTGCATAACCTCTTGCAAAACACAGGAATGTCCATTTCCGACTACCATCCCTCATTTGCTGCTAGTGTCAAACTGAAAGGCCACATGCAGTAGACACAAGTGCTTGTCAAATACCTATGGCAAAGGGTGAATGCATGAGTATACGGTACTTCCAGCATGAAGCAGTGTTGCACTGATGCAGGGGTAGACTTCCAGAACCACCAGTGTACGGTACCTTTTCAAGATTTCTCTCACCCTCTCTCGCAGGGTATTTTTTCTAACTACTGCTCAGTTTTTCAGCCCTGATCTGGATAACCCAATCTCATCAGACCTCAGAAGCTAAGCAGGATTGGCGCTGGCCAGTACTTGGATGGGCAACCTCCAAGGAATACCAGGGCTGTGATGCAGAGGCAGGCAATGGCAAACCACCTCTGAAACATCTCTTGCCTTAAAAACAAGTCTAGCTCGCCACCTAGTGGTGCATAACGCTAAAAGAGCTACAACTTCTGCAGGCCAGACAATCTTAGGATCTCCTGGCTATACTACACAATTGCCATGTAATTATTATTATTATTACTGTTTTTCCAGTTGTTGACTGTGGGCCACCAGAGAACACAGCCAATGGTACAGTTGTGTATGTCACACGAGACAATGTTAATGTCTACCAAGCCAAGATTGAATACAGATGTGAGGATTCCTTCTATGCGCTAAGAACAGGAAGTTCTGGTAAGAGGATCCTTTCACGGATGATGCACACTTATGTGCAAGATGTTTTGACAGATAAAAGTGGTACTTGCTTCTAATTCAATACATACAGGATCTATCAGGAATATCATAATGTTTAGTCTCATTCCTTTGGCCATAAGTAATGCTTTCTAAATATACGATGGGCTAAAAGAGGCTGTGATTCGGGTACAAGCCCTACCACCCCATTGGCTGCTATACTGTGCCATCATAGCACATTGACATAATGGCTATTCAGTAAAAAAAGGTAAAGGTTCCCTTGCTAGAAAACCAGTCGAGTCCGACTCTAGGGTTGCAGTGCTCATCTCAATTTCAAAGCCGAAGAGCCAGCGCTGTCCGAAGATGTTTCCATGGTCATGTGGCCGGCATGACTAAACACCAAGGCGCACGGAACGCTGTTACCTTCCCACCAAAGTGGTACCTATTTATCTAATTGCAATTTCTTGCTTTCGAACTGCTAGGTTGGCAGGAGCTGGAACTAGAGATGGGAGCTCACTCCGTCATGCGGCAACTCGGGTCTCAAACTACAACTACTGACCTTCCACAGCCTGCAGTTCAGCGTCTTAACCACTTGAGCCACTGTAGCTCCTTGGCTATTCAGTAGACAATGACAATACTGACTTTGGGCCAGAGACCCCAATTCAAATCCATACTCAGCCATTAACTTCATTCTCTTTAAGATACCTCAGAGAGTTTTAAGGAGGATGAAAACGGGTCAACTACATGTATTCTGCTCTGCATTGGAGAAAAGGTAGCATACTAAGGTGGTCAATTTTAACTGTTTGGGGGGAGCGAGACCACAGACATGGCTCAAGAACAAAAAGCGCTGATTGCATTAGGGGTCCTGAGAGTCGGGAGGGAGATGGTATCCACAGGAATTGCACACAAGGCCACAAATAGCAAGAGGGCAGAGATGCAAGGAGGGGTTTGGATCTCACACTGATTTGTAGGAACCAGCTAGCCTTTGGGGAACTGCTCTACAATTACCAATAGTACTTTCTGAATGTTTATGCAGGTCGCTACAGCTGTGCCCATGATGGCTACTGGAGAGATTCCAATGGAGAGCAAGCGCCTCCTGTTTGTAAACCAGGTAACGTACAGAGCAGCTACAAAACAGATGAGCCGGGCAAGGCCAACGGTTTTAGCGATTTTGCTATAGATAGGTATCAGATATTTTTCTTTCAGAGGAATAATACTGTAATCTTGACTGAGGATAAATGCAAGACTTAAATACTCCCGTGTCATCCTGTTCCATCTTCTATGGGACTGTTTTTCATAGGATTAGAGTGTACGGAAGTATGAACCACTCCATCCTTCCCAACACAATTCAGAAAACAATACTAGAAGTCAGGGCCACTGACGGACAGTGGATTCAGGACAGCCAAACAAAATAACATCACACAAGGTAGTTAATTTATGGACTTTAATCCCACAAGATGCAATGATGGCCACTAGTTTAGACTGCTTTAAAGGGGGGGGGGAGATCACATGAATTCACGAAAGACAGACCTAGCCTGATAAATGTAATATTTCATAGAATCATAGAGTTGGAAGGGGCCATACAGACCATCTAGTCCAACCCCCTGCCCAATGCAGGACCAGCCTAAAGCATCTCTGACATGATCTAAAATAGCCACTGATAAAACTACAGCGCAATCCTAAACAGTCACATTCTTCTAAGCCAATTACTTTGCACCTGACAAAAGTGAGCTTTGACGAACAAAAGCTTATACGCTGGAACATTTTGTCGGCCTACTAGGTGCTACTGGACTTGAATTTTGCCCACTGGACTTAGAATTCTATTTAGCATTGCACTGCTAGTAGCCACTGATATATTTAAGTGTTAACATGCCTCCGTATTGTACATGATCATACAATATAAGTACATACCCCTCTTAAGATGTCATTAAATGTTGTTGGGGTGGGGGGGGTCAGATACTTAAACATTCTAGATGACATTTCATACACACAAACTACCATCCCCAAACAGGTCAGATTAGGGGCCCTTCTACCTGATATGCAAGCTTACTACAGGTCAGGAATGACAATGTGTGTGTTTTGTTTTATTGGGGGGGGGGTTTAAGAGAGAGGATCGGGCTATCAACCCCTGCCCTAACTTCAAATATTTAGGGTTTGGTTTAGAAATGTAGTGTTAGGCTTTTGCTAAAAGTTACCATTCTTTCTTCAGTCTGTGGTATCCAACATACAAAGCCTCTGAGACGTATATATGGTGGAAAGAGGGCAAGGCACGGACAGTTCCCTTGGCAAGTTCTGATAACTGACGGACAAGGAGTAACAGGGGGCGGCGCCCTCTTGTACGATAACTGGGTTGTAACAGCGGCACATGTCATCACCGATCCAGCAGATGCATCCTCCTTGACCCTGAAAATGGGTCTGGTGAACAAACGAGCCACTAATCACCAGCAGGCTCAAGCAGAATCTGTTTTTGTTCACGAAGGGTACAGGAATGACGGCTTCAACTTCAACCACGATATCGCTTTGATCAAACTGGAGTACAAAGTCCCCATTAATGCAAACGTCACTCCCATTTGCTTGCCAGGAAAAGAAAGCAGATTCAACCTGAACATAAGTGACACTGGATTAGTAGCTGGCTGGGGGAAAACAGAGAAGGAGAGGCCTTCCCTTTTCCTGCTATACACAGAGCTAGATGTTGTTGACCCAGAGAAGTGCAGAGCAGCATACGCGAACCTGAGTATGGAGGGAAAGCCGCTTGTGCTGACAGAAAACATGTTTTGCGCTGGCTATGACCAAGGCGGAAGAGATTCTTGCAGTGGAGACAGTGGCGGGGCATTAGCCTTTTTTGATATGCAGACCGGGAGGTGGTTTGTGGGTGGCATCGTCTCCTGGGGTGTCCAATGTGGTGCGGCACACCTGTATGGTGTGTACACTAAAGTGGCCAACTACATCTCATGGATTGAAAACATAATTGTACATAATTCTTAACTGTGACTTGTACGATGCTCCCTTTCAATAAAGAGAATTCAAAGCCTTCCTCTTTGATATTTGAATACATAAAGTTACTTGTCTCTGCAATTCTAACACTGCTACTCGAAGCGGATGTACCATTCTAAGCTCAATGAAGTCATTGGGCTTAGAAAGGTTCACATCTGTTTAGGAAAACAAGTTGTCAAAGAGAGCTAAGGAGACAAAATGGACTGGATCTTTTCAGACTGCAGATGGGAGGATCACATTTAAAAATGCTTCCTTGTCAAAAACTCCCTGCAAACAGGAAAACAGTACAGCAAACAGAAGGGGCAGGACTTTTATCCTTACAGGACAAACTGTCTATCTGCACAGAATTTTGATATGAAAGAACATTCTGAGAGGGCCATGGCTCAGTGATGGACTATCCGAGGCTCCAAATTAAATCACTGTCATTTTATTTATTTATTTATTTCAGCTTACTACCCCGCTCTAACCCCCTAAGGGGACTCTGAGCGGCTACAGTTACTCATTTATCCCTAACCTATGACCACAATTATTAGGGGTGGGGACAATCCATCTGCTAAATGGATCAGAAAGTACATGTTTTGAAAAACTTCTTCCTAAAATACTAGAGAGCAGCTGACAGTCAAAATAGACAATACCGACCTTGACAGAGCAACGGTGTGACTCTGTATAAGTCAGATATATATGACCCAGTGAATCCTGCACTGGCAGCCTCAAGCGATGCAGCCTTTTCAAACACTTCATCCTCACACCATTCTTCTGCTTTTGTATGCCAGTAAATGCACAAAAGATTGGAGTGTAAAAACTTCCAAATGGTTCCAGGTTTACTCAGACCTGCAGAGGCCAGGAAAACCTGTGCACACAAGTCACTGCAAGCTCCTTCAAGTGATAGGAGAGGCAGGACGGAAACTTTTTGCTAAAACCGAGACTGCAGCACTGAAGTATCAACTTCGGCATGATTTTGTTTCTTGTATCCACCTGTTAGCTTTTACATTTTCTTTACAAACAGTTGACCTTTTAAATGTTTTTTCCCTCTCTGTTCCAGCAAGGCAAACCACCTCTGCTTCTCACTTGCCTTGAAAGCTCTTTACTGGGGTTGCCGTGACTTGGCTGTGACTTAATGGCACTTTACACACACATTCCGGCAAGGAAACCGTCATGCGACACAATACGTAAATGCACCGACCTTGTGATTTCAATTAAAGCATGCTTGACACTTTTCCCAGATGTAGGGCATGAAGAGAAGAACAAGGAGTCTAACGGTGCCATAAAGACTAATGAAATGCTATTCCTGCATGAACTTTCACAGGCTTCTTCAGAGGCAATGAACTAAGGTTATTTTATGTTTGAGAATGAATGTTATTCCTTCCATAGTATAATATTTGAACTTTTTATTTTTAATGAGAAGGCATGGAGGAGATTAAGAGGGCTTTACTGATCACAGGCAAACTTTTAAACTCCCGTCTGGCTTTCAAAAAATCATGGAGCACTAAAGCAGAATTATGTGAGAAGTGCTCTAATGATCACAGTAAACTGCCATCCTAGATCATATGATTCACGGAAGTGCTAAACCTAGTCCCCAAATTTACTTGTAGCTTCTGCCAAAGAGACAGAGATGCTCCAAGACTGACAGGGGTACCTCCTGCCCACGTTCTCTCTCCTAAACAACAGACTTTGGACCAGGAGTCCCCAACCTTTTCCAGCCAGTGGGCACCCTTGGGATTCTGACACAGTAGGGTGGGCGCAATCACAAAATGGCCACCACAGGAGGTGGAGCCAACTATACATGCACGCACACGGAGGAAGCCCAGGCGCAGGGGTCAAGAGGAACACTTTTTTAAAAATGGACCGGGAAAGAGTGAGGGGGGGAAAACACTGGCTATTTTAATCTGTAAAGCCAATCAGATCACCAGTGGCCAATCAGAAGCCCCGCTGGAACCCCATTTGGCCTCCCCCGTTTCTAAAAATACTTGGTGGGTGCCATGGCGCCCATAGGCACCACGTTGGGGAACACTGCTTTGGACGTACGTAGGTTAGGAGTTTCATTAACGTTCTGCAGCCAACTGTAAGAAGGAAAGTCTTAAGCTTAAGTCAGGTCTGGGTTTTTATAAAATTCACACAAGCAGCTACAAAAACTTACTCTAACTGTGCCGCCACTGTAGTAGCCATGGACTCCTCTATGAGTTTAGAATAACAATAATTTTAAAAAAAGATCTGAGAATCTGTTCTGGTCTTACAAGCAGGCAGTACTGACAGCCAAAGAACACAGATGTAGGCAGCTCAGAGGAATAGGGCAAGGCCCCCCCCCAGTCGTGCTGTTCAATCAGCTGCAACATTACATTTGCAACCGCTGAGACTGAAGTGCTCCAAGCCTCAATCACACCCACGCAAATTTAGCCTGCAAGAAGAAAATCGTCAACATTATATCTATTTGAATAGCACAGACTCAGTAATTAAGAGATGCTCAGCAGGTAACCAAAACACACAACTCACTGGCTCACTCAGGGCCTTTGTTAAATTACTACACTGTTTATTACTAAATGAAGCTCATTAGCGAGATAATCCTTCTAGCAGTGTTAAAACTGACTGTGTTCCTGATCTTCCGACTTTAAATTGCATAAGTGCAACAAATACAAGTCTACTGAATGTCAAGGCAAAACAAGACTCCAGACACTCAAGTTACGAGAACACCTTTTATTAACTCACTTAAAACACTAAAAAAAAATATTATAGACTATGAATAAAGTTTGAAAACATTTCTAATACACACAGGGATTTGAGGGAGGGGATATTAGAACCCTTCATGCTCTAGCAGCATTAAAAATATCACAGCAGGTGTTCCCCAGTTGGCCCTAGACTCAAAAGACAACCTGAAACAAGTTACTGAAACCATGCTAGTGATGTATAAACTTACCCTCAAGATCCTTCCCGGGATGACAGAGTTTAGCCTTTGGAGGTCCGAGAATACCATTTTAAGTGTTACTCAGCAGCAGTAGCTGGTATTAGTGCAAATGCTAAAATGCAAAATTCAGATGGTACAGAGTTTGGCAATGGATCTGATTTAGGTGCAGGAAAAAAATCAAGCATCTTATGAAAGAATATTTCTTCTCAGAAGAGTCACAGATTGTTTTACAGTGAGAAGCAAGTACTGGAAGTGGGCTTTAGCATTAAAAAGCAAAGCTAGTCAAAGCACCCCACAACAAAACTCTACATGTACTAATATTTCTTTAAGAAAAAACAGGATTCAGGCTTTAAGTGCCAGAGCCAAGGAAAAAAGAGGGAAATTAAACTAGCCTTCCAGCACACATGGAAGATCTGCAATGAATCAGGACACCATCAGTTTCCCGGGGGGGGGGGGGGGGGGGGGGGTGTGTTTAGTGGGTTGGTTGCCTATTTCCAAAATCTGCCAGGTGAAAGTTGTAGATTTGCATCAGATATAATAATGGGATCACAAAGATGCTGTTAACTTATGCAACAAGTCTTTAGGACTGCTAAGTCCACCCCTCTTCCTTCAGACAGTCAAACCTTTCTTCAAGCTGAGTCACAAGTGCTCTGCCAACTTGCATTCTGGAGGGTGTTAACATATGGGCAAGCTATTCTCTGTACTCACTCCAGCAAAGGGCAATTAACACTACCACCAGCTCAGCATCTAAGTAGAATGCACTTGACAGGAGCAATACTGTTTATGCTTAAATGCAATTTTGGCTCTTGCCTACAACACTCTCTAGTGGGAGAGAACTCACTCACCAAGGGAAGGCTATCTCATTTGGTAAAGCACAATTTCAGATATGTATATTACTAAATGCTACAAAGACGGAACTGCAGTTGTGTTACTGGTATCGATTACATCAGTGAAAGGTAAGACATAAATAGCAGACATTTTACAGCTACCTCAACTTAAATTAATGGCTATACACTTGGGGGGAGGGGTGCTGTCAAACACACACACATATTACTTAAATCAGTTTTATTTAAGAATTTCCTACATTGACAAATCTTATAAAAAGCATCCAAACACAGAACTGCAGCAAACAGCATTCATATGGATATCTTACAGGCAGAGAAAACTTCCACCCAAGGGAACCTCCGAGCTTGGGACTGAGTTTTGCTACAAAAAAAAAGCCAACTTTCCACAAAACGCACCCCAAGCTGGGTGTTCCCACCAAAACTCCACCTTCAGTTCACATTACCACACTTACAGAATCATTAACAGAAAAGAACACACACCATACAGCATTCACAGCAGAGTTGACAACGGAGGGAAAAAAAATACAGATATTCATTTCACTTAACACATTCAAATAATTGGTTAACTAGGTAAAAAGCCCCCCATTTAAGTTCTTCCAGACTGGGATGTCCTTTGAATGCCAGAAAAAAAAAACACTCGTACGTCCGCTCCCAATGCTCTCCGCACACTCTCTCACCAAAGCCACAGGATCGAGGGACATCGCGCCAAGAAATTTATTATTTTTTTAAAAATCCCATTAAGCACCACCAGGTCTCTCTCTGCATGCGCCTCCTCCTTTTTCTCGCACATACCAAGCCCTCACATGCCTCGGCACCACCAATCCAATACCACACAAGGTTTTCAAGAGTTCAAACAAGCCTTCCGGTTCCATCTCACAGCCTTGCGTTCATAGCGTTGAATACGACTCCATGAAATAAAAGAGTAGCGGATAAAAATGGAACACCCACCGTCTTAAGACGAAGCATGTGCAGTGTGATGGGAGTCTTGGATGAGGAAAGCATGGAGACAGAAGTATTTCCTAAGGCAGATTTTTTTTTTAAACTGCACTGCTTTCAATGAAGTGCTTCTTCCATAGACATTTGAAATGAGATGAACTGCAAGGATTAAATGAGGTCTTCATACCGTACTTTAGTATGAGGAGGGGAGACAGTGTTAAAAGGAAAAGAAGCCGACACCAACATTGCATTCTCCACACAGGACATTTGGGGGGAGGGGGAGGGAGAGAAAGAGAGAGAGAAATTCTTATGGCGGGGGATCAAATTAAATTTTAAAAGAAAAAAAAACTAACAAGGAAAAGGATGCAGTTTCTGGGGAAAAAATGGCTTCCATTTTCGAAACATGCACAGATCTCAGCTGACTAGGAAATGAGGAATCAATTTCTTTTTTTAAAAAAACAAATCCCTATCAAATTGCAGTGGGTTTGTTTACCCATCAGGCAAACCGGCACGTCCACTTTCAGTCACTCAACAACCCAACTCATCGTAACAAAACCTATAAATCTCCATTTAAGCTTTTCTTTTCTTTTTTTTCCCCTCCCCACCCTTACAAAAGAAAACGTGTCAAAAATACTGTTCAAATATACTACACGCTGAACAAACTGATCTGGAATTTTTTTTTTCTTTTAGTATATGCATCTTATAATATACTTACCAGACGCTCTAGAAAAAAAAAGACCCGATTTCCCTCCACAGAGTCAGGATTGGATTGCCTACATTCCCCAGCCAGATGACTTGGAATCCATGCTCGAGCCAAAACCGCCGTTAAAGCCACTGCTAGAGCCTGCGTTGGACGAGCCCCACCCAATTGCTGCGCCAGAGTTAGAGCCTCCGTAGGAATTGCTCCCTGAACTGAAACCCTGGTTCTGCTCTCTCTGCATGTTGCCTGGTGGCTGGTTGTTCCCCGAGGGCCCAGACTGGTTCTGCTGGCTAGCTAGCATGCCCATCATCCCCCAACTGCTCTGGAGAGCTGCCTGAGCTGCCGCCATCATGGCGGGGTTGATGCTAAAGGCTCCGAAATTCATCCCGCCCCCCATGTTGCTGCCCTGGTTGTTTCCCAACCCTCCACCTCCACCTCCTCCCCCCCGGTTAGGAAATCCACCCTGATTCCCAAAGCCTCCTGGATTACCACCAAATCTTCCACCTCTTTCTAGTTGTCTACTGCTATTATGCTTAGGTTCAGCATTGGATATATGGACGCTGATTCCTTTTATGATCAAGTCCTCGCCACAAAGGGACTGGGCAACCTACAAGAAACAAGGCAGGCAGATGAGTACCTCTGAAGAGCGTAAAAACAAACGACTTTAAAAACAGAAGCAGCAAACATCAGGTCTAGAAGGCTTAATGTTAATCAAACAGTTGCACCTCCAGAGTATTACTACTCCTCTCCTTACAAAGGGAAGTTTGCTTCTCAAATCTCTCTACAGAATGGCATTCGTATTAAGTGCACCGTGGCTCCAAGAGTTGCCGGTTTATATAAACAGCAGTTAAGTGTGTTTCAAAGCATAGAAGCTCAAACTTCATTTAAGACTTCCAGATTAGAAAGCGCTCAGGTATTCTTACCAGTCGATGTTTAATACAATTCACTGCCCTCTTAACTACTGCCTTGTACCAATTTGTCAACAGCAACTCAGCTGGTTACCTGTGGCAGCTTTCAGGCAACCAAACAGGGAAATGTTTCTGAACTAGGAAAGCTGAGAATCTGCCCACCCCCTCCAGTCAATACGCTACAGATGATTAACGCAGGTACATGAAGGCACTTTTTGGACTGATAATTTTTCTGTACTGACTTGCAAGCCTGGCCTGTTGTTTTTGTTCTACGGTGGCAGCATGATGCAATTAAGGCCGGCCACACTAGAGATGTATTTGCTGTACTAGGAAAACAATCAGCAAAATGGGGGTACTTCAGGGATCAGCTTTTCTGGATTAAAACTTGCCTTAAAGTAAAAGTGCTCGTGTACCAGAAAGGAGGGGTATTAATAGGTCTGTAAATTGTCTAGTATCTCTCAGGCCAGCTGCGCTTACATTTTACAAGCAAACAAAGGAAAACGGAAACTTAACAAAAATATCAGGAACAAGCTGCCTTGCGCTTCAGGGAATAACGAGATGAATGAGGATGGATTACCTGATCATCAGCAAACGTGACAAAGGCAAAAGCTCTGAACGGTTTGGGGATGAAGACATCAACCACTTCTCCGTATTGTGAAAAAAACTGACGAAGCTCCTCTGCAGTCATGTCTTCAGTGCAACGCCCAACAAACACTTTCCTGCTACGCAAAGGTTCATCTGGACTTTGCTGGTACCAATGCAGAACAAGAGACTCCCATTAATACAAAAAGCTGTTTTGTAATAATCAAATGCAAGCATGTGCACACACACGCAAGAAAATACTGATTAGTCAAATGAGTAGGTAAGAGCTAAACATGGAAGTCACTAGAGACTCTGGAATGGTGCCTTCTGAAGTTTAAATGTATAGCATGACATGAGATTAGAAACCGAACAGCTGGCGGGCTAGCTGGATAATTACACATTTTGAGAAAGGGAAGAGAATGTAAGGGCAATGACATTTTTAAAGTGTTTCACCCACACTTTTAGATAATTTAGTATTATATTACAAATAGTTAGAATTTCAGCCAAAGCACACTTCCTTGAAAGTTCTACATGGAGTCTTTTTAGTGGCCAGGACTAAAGATGTACTTTGGGCATCGCTATCAAGACTGATCTGCCTCTTTCTTTTCAACAGCAGCCCTTCATGGTACATCACAATCCGCTTTGGAATTTCCCCTTATCATAAATTGGTCATGTGGCAGAGAACTGCTGTTGGACTAGCTGCTCAGTAATTTGGATCCCCACTACCATGTTCAAAATTGTAGAGTCGCTCATTCTTGGCAATCAATTGAGACAAGTAATTGACCACAACTTCACTTGCACATTAACAAAAGCCTATAACAAGTCACCCCTAAAAGTACCTTAGAGTTTGGAAGTTTGCAGTCACACCATCTTCCATCTATCATGTGTCGCTGAGACATGACTTTCACCTGGGTTTCATAGTCTGTAAATCGTACAAACCCAAACCCCTTTGAGTGGCCAGTTTTGATGTCCTTCTTAACCTGGGAATAAGAGAACAGATCTGAATGCAAGAACTGTAACACAGGTAAAAACTGGCATTTGTGAGCTGATTTCACACTATTTCCTGCAACGATGAAAGCAGTACAAAGATTTTGTCTGATGTTCATTCAAAACTTCCATGACTCAAACTGGCCCACCTTACCTATGCAATACACTTCTGACAACAAAAATATAAACAGCCAGGATGTTAAAATTTCCATCCATTCTAGTTAAGTACAAAAGTTAAAATTTGGTATAATTTGGCAGCTGACAAAGAACTATGGGGAGAGGGACCCAATGGAGAAATTCCCCCTGCAGCCCAGAACAGATTAGCTCTACGATAGATAAACTTCCTGCTCATCTAGTTCTGAATCCTAGGTATCTAGCATATTCCAAACCAAAGAGGTTCAGTGCTGGGGTGGGTTTCTTTTTTTCTACACTGCATGGAGAGTCGTTAGACCTCTATATTCCAGTATCTAAGCCTCCAGATTTATCGGTCTCGCCTATAAACCAATGCTCATAGCCCCCACTCCCTTTTTCATTTTTAGGTTTTAAATTATAGTTTATCTGCATACCTGGGGAGCACTCCAAGCATATTGAATACCCCTATCTGGTCTGTAGCTTTCACTGCCATGATAAGCACATAGCTTATTCTAAGTTTACTATTAGAAGTGACAGATAAAACAGGCAATGCCTAAGGTGTCACCAAGTAACTTTCAGAATCGCGTACAAAGGCGAAACTCACCCCAAGAACTCATCAGGAAATCTCAGCTTGCACTGTGAAAAAAATCTGAACTACAACCAAATGAGCCAAACCAACACCAATACATGCGTACTTCTTTGGGAGTAAAGGCAATAAAAAAATCAGTGGGATTTCCTTTCTTACTTAAAAAAGACCTAGGATTAGACTGAAAAGCCATTATTTTACTTAAGCATAGCATATAAAGGATTTGGAAGTCACTGGGAGGAGCTTGCACAGCACAAACCACAGCAGGAGCCCGGAGGGCAGTTGTCATGTGACAGACAGCAAGAGGAAAGTTTGCTAAGCATAAATTTTTGCAACTATATTTTGCCACTGACAAAGCGGGGTACTCAGTACTTGGACTGCCCCTGCTTAATAAGCTTCTGTGCTCAACCACGGACTTCTCAGAGAAAGGAAAGCCAAATACCTGCACCATGAGAACCTCTCCAAACGTGCTGAAATATTCCTTTAGATCTTGTTCAGTTGTTTTCCATGGCAGTCCCAAAACGATGAGATCAGAGGTTTTCTGCACTGCTCGCTTCACTTTCACAGCTGATGAAGCATCTGTTTCATCCATTTTACGCTTATTGTCTAAAGAAAGAAGGAGACCTATCACCAGAGGTCTTTCAAAAATGAACTAAACAAAATAAAGCAAAGGCTTTACAAGGAGACAGCTCCTTTTTAAAGCTTTGTGAAGTCAAATCCTAGGAGTGTTTATTCAAAAGCAAGTCCTGCTATGCTCAATGGGGCTTACTGCAAGGTAAACGTACACAGGATTGTTGTCCTAGTACTTATTAGGAGTAGAACATATTCACTTCTGACACCTGCAGCATTTTTAGAGCTTATCTGAATCTTTGCAATTAAAAAAAAATATCCATCCAAACAGATTTCTATGTCCAAAAAGTCAAACCATAAATAATTAGTCTTTAATAATATTTTATCTACTTAACTGAAAATTATGTGTAACACCCACCTTTGGGATAGTTAACAACATAAACCAGATTTCCCCAGCCATTATCTGGTGCGTGCAGAATTCCTTCCACTAATCGGACTCCTCTCATACACTGAGACACGGGGTTTCTGTAGCGCAGGCCACAAGCCCCGGGGAACTGAGCAGTGACTGTCGACAGCAACACTGTCCCATCATCCTCTGAGGGGATCTCAATGGGTTCTTCGTTCTCATCCTCAGTAACCCGGATGTACTCCGACATATCTGCCGTGTGGTAACTAATGGAATAAAAAATATTAAAGGAAAAGTGTGAGCCATATTAAAAGAAATCACAGGCTGAGATTGTGGTGGCATCTAGTCTCTCTCCATGCGCCTTACGGTCCCTTTACAGAAGCTACCACAGGTCTTGAAATGAAAGGACTGCTTTTTTGTTTCTCTGATTAAGGTAATACCACAGCTGACAGTCTACTACATACAGCCTTTAGCACACAGCCTCCAGAAACCCAAAAGGGAGATGTGAAGGCCTGATCCGTTTGTCTGCCCTCAACATCTGGTATTCAGAACCAGAAGATCTGGAAGTGCTAATTGCCTATTCATGAATTTCTCTAGTCCTTTTTAAAAAGCCATATAGATTACTGACTGTTGTCACATCAGGCAACACTAAATTTCTTACGTGTCACATGTCCAGTCCACTTAATCCAAACAGTGGCTGACTGTAAAACACCTCTCCCAAGCAGACCAAAATAGTAAAGTTTTCCCTCTGAGCAATGACAGGAGGAATACTACTTCAAAACATGGAAAAGAAAGACAGGAGGTAAATAAAGTACTACACTACACTTGATCTTAGCCAAAAGGCCAAGAAGCGATAAAATAATAAATGTCCCCTTCAAACTTCCCCTCTTTCTATTCCAGCTCCTTTCTCTGTTGCCCCCAAGTTTCTATTATTTAGTTTTATTCCCTTTCTGTGATTCTTTCACAAACTGAGCAGGGTGGTGGCCTGTTTGGCTGCACCTCCTAAGGTGGGTTTGGCTGCGCCTCCTGCAGAAGCCATTTTGGCAGGGTGCACTCACCACCCTCCTCTCAGAACTCCAAAGGTGCCTGCAGGCAGCTGTGTGGCCCTGATCTAATGAAAACCTCTATGAAATGGGCTAATCTTTCTAGAGCACCTTACTGGATCAGATCAAATGTCCAACGTCCTGTTGGGAACACTGACCAACTAGTTGCACCTGGGAACCACACAAACAGCGCATGAAGACAGTGTTTGTCTACCGCATCTGGTATCCAGAAACAAACATCTAAACATACAGGTTCTATCTACCTATACAAGAACTTCTTTGCTGCATCAGACCAAGAAAGAGCCAGCAAGGTCCAATAATTAGAGAAAGTACAGGACCAGGTTCAAATCCCTACCCAGTCATGATTGCGCTAGATACCCTTGAACCAATCATTCCCACACATGCTACCCTACCTCATGGGATTGCTGTGAGGGTAAAAGTTAAGGAGAGAACTATGTGTGCCACAGAAATATGTAAAAAATAAATAAATGACAGCGATTAGAGTGAAGGACCAGAACTAGGGGGAGCAGGGTTCACATCTCCAGACAGACGTACCACTCAAGAGACTGCCTCTGGACAGATCTCTGTTCTCACCATCTAACTCCCCTCACAATTTTACTTTTAATGAGCCATGGGGGGGGGAAAAACCACTCCAAAATATGACCCAATGAGAACTGGATATGCTCACTGCCCTCCAAGACATGGAGAATGTCCCAGCATGGTGTACTGGTCAGAGTCTAAGACCAGGATCTAGGAGCCCCAGGTCTGAATCTCCACTCTTCCATGAAAGCTTGGCGGGGGACATTAGGCTAGTTCATTAGCCTCTCAGCCTAACCCACCTAGCAGGGTTGTTGTGAAAATAACACGGAGGAGAGGAAAACTGTGTAAGTTGCTTTGCAGAGAAAGCTTTGGTACAAATGACCAAATAAATGAAACAAACAAAAATAAGGACCCCTTGAAGGTGACTAGGTGTCAGCGGAAAAATCACAAAGGATCATACTGCACTCATTAGAGTAACTGTGCTTAATGAGAGACAGTGTGGTATAGTAATGAAAAGTGTCAGCCTACTATTAGGAAGACAAGTTCCTGCTCATGCCATGGAAGTCCTCCTGATAGTGGACCTCCTGATGGCACCTGAGCTTTGGCCACTGTGTGACACAGAGTGCTAGACTGGATGGGCTTTTGGCCTGATCTAGCATGGATTCTCTTATGTTCTTATGTTTGGGACAGTGATGCTCTGTCTTCTTGGCCCCTGGGGGGGCACAGTGGAGGGAGCTTCTGGGGTTCTGGCCCCACTGGTGGACCTCCTGATGGCACCTGGGTTTTTAGCTACTGTGGGACACAGAGTGTTGGACTGGATGGACTATTGGCCTGGGACAACATGGCTTCTCTTATGTTCTTGTAGATGGAACACTATGTCTGGGGCAGTGATGCTCTCTACTCTTAGTGCTTGGGGGCCAAGGGAAGGCTTCTGGAGTTCGTGCCCTGCTGGTGGACCTCCTGATGGCACCCGGGCTTTGGCCACTGTGGGACACAGAATGTTAGACTGGAAGGGTGCAGCGTGGCTTCTCTTATACTCTTATGTCTGGGGCAGTGATGCTCTGTATTCTTGGTACTTGGGGTCCACAGTGGGAGGGCTTCTGGCCCCCTGGTGGACCTCCTGATGGCCCCTAGGTTTTGGCCAACTGTGTGACACAGAGCGTTGGACTGGAGAAACCATTGGCCCGATCCAACATGGCTTCTCTTATGTTCTTAAGCTCACTGCGTGACCTTGGGCCAATCACATTCTCTCAGGCTACCCTACCTCACAGGGCTGTTGCGAGAATAAAACGCAGAGGAGAATAACGTAAGCCGCTTTGGGTCCGCATTGGGGAGAAAAGCATTCTATAAGTAAATTGTGTAAATTATAAATAAGAGTAACTGCAGCTCAGTTATGTTCAGCAGCATTCAGGTGGGCCATCTGGCACGCTAAAATATGTCTGAACATGATTGCTGGTGGGCTGCCAAGCTCGTTTCGGGGGGAAGGATAATCATTATAGGACAGGTAGGACACATCCTACTCTGCCACAGGAGGTGGTGAATTCACTGCCACAGGAGGTGGTGGCGGCTACAAGCATAGACGGCTTCAAGAGGGAAGTGGATAAAAATACAGAGCAGAGGTCCATCAGTGGCTGTTAGCCACAAGGTATAGAGGAACTCTCCGTCTGGGGCAAGGGATGCTCTGTATTCTTGGTGCTTGGGGGGGGGGGCAACAATGGGATGGCTTCTAGTGTCCTGGCTCCACTGCTGGACCTCCTGATGGCCTCTGGTATTTTTGGCCACTGTGTGACACAGAGTGCTAGACTGGATGGGCTTTTGGCCTGATCTAGCATGGATTCTCTTATGTTCTTATGTTTGGGACAGTGATGCTCTGTCTTCTTGGCCCCTGGGGGGGCACAGTGGAGGGAGCTTCTGGGGTTCTGGCCCCACTGGTGGACCTCCCTGATGGCACCGTGTATTTTTTGGCCACTGTGTGACCCAGGATGTTGGACTGGATGGGCCATTGGCCTGATCCAACATTGGCTTCTCTTACGTTCTGACTGATTTAAAAAGGTGCCACTGGACTCAAACTCCGCTCTGATGCTTAATCAGCTTATGGAACTCACTGGCACCAGATGCATTTTATCACCTGTAGCTAAAATGGCTTTCTAAAAAAACTTAGACCGATCTATGGAGGACATGTCCTTTGATCGCTAAATGGAACCTGTTGGGCTTTCAGGGAATGGGGAAAGGGATGGGGGGGGGGGCAGTGCTCCCTCTAAGCCGTGGAGTCTTGTGAGCAGAAAATTCTCCTTTGTGAGCTCCTGGCCTGAAAGTTGTGAGCGAGCGATCGGGCTGCTGCGTAAATCAGTCTGCTCTGGAGCAGTGTTCCCTCTAAGCTGAGTTAGTGTGAGCTAGCTCAGAGTTTGTTAGCCTCCGGCTCACACATTTTTGTCTTCGCTCAGGAAGGATGGCTTCAGAGCAGACTAATTTATGCAGCAGCCAAACTGCTTGCTCCCAGCTTTAATGCTAGTAGCTCACAAAGTAGACTTTTTGCTCACAAGACTCCACAGCTTAGAGGGAACATTGCTCTGGAGCCCCATCGTTCCTGAGCTGAGACAAAAACGGGTGAGCCAGAGGCTCAAAAACTGTGAGCCGGCTCACACCGACTCAGCTTAGAGGGAACACTGCCCCCCTTCCCCCCGCCCCGCCCAAGCCGCATATACGGGGCAGCGGCCTTTTCCACCCCCCCGTTAGACATGTTCGGGTCGGGCGAGGCACTGCCCCGAGACAGGGAGGCGCCATTCCTAGTTATCTCGGTTAACACCGTTGAGGTCGTCTCGGGAAGCGGGTTCAAATCTCCATCTCCGCCACCGCCGCCAACCTCCGCGCGGGCCAGCCGGGAGGGCCCCAGTATCCGACAGCAGCGCCGCCGCCGCCGCCTCCCCCCAAGGACCACATCACGCCCGGCAACCGGCGCTCCGAACGCCGCCGGCGCTCCACGCAACCGCCGCTCCCCCTCCGTGGAACGCCGCCTCGCTCTCGGGCCCCGTCGCTGAGCGTGACGCGCCGCGGCCCCCCCCCCTTGCCGCCCGCTCGCCGCGCTTACCGACGGTGTGAGGCCCGAGAGCAAGGGGGGGCGGCGGCGGGCGCCCTACCAAGGCTCGGGGAAAGCGAGGCCTCCGGGTCCCTTCTCGCGCCGACAAAATGGCGGCACCCACCTTCCCTCAGAGGCGGCGGGCTGGAGCACCCGCGGGCCCGGAGCGAACCATGCTCTTCCCGCGAAGGGGTGGCTCTGTTAATTAATACGGCCTTTGCTTCGCTTCTGAAGCGTTGCGGGAGGCGCGGCGGCTCAGGAGAGAATCAGTGGAGTCCGTGAAGTTGTACGGTTCTTTCATTCGCTCTCGCCCGAGGGGAAAGGGGGATAGTTTCCCCTCGCGTATCGACCGGCGGTGGTACGGCCTGCCCGAAACCGTAATGCGCGTGCGTGGGAAAGGGTGCGCTAAGAAAGGGGAGAAGAGGAAAAGGGAGAGCGTTGGAAGCGCGTCGGCCTTGTTATTGCGCATGCGCCAGAGCCCTAGTTTCTTTCCCCGGTGGGGGGATGTTTGAGGGAGAAAAGAGCGGGAAAATTCGTTGCGCGCGGCCCCCCAAAACGGGAGTCTGACGAGATTTCCCCAAAGCTCTTTTATTTTCTGTGGGGGCAGATGGGTCATGGTTGCCTTCTGCTTGGCCGGTGTGGTAGCACAAACGTCAGCTTCTCAGTCTGTTGCAAATCAAAGCCCGGCCCTCAGAGGAGTGTGGGAATCACATAGGAACGGTGTCTCTGAGGGAGTGCAAAGTGCGGTTCCGCGCACAATGGCCCTTGAACTCAGGGCAGGCTGTCATGGAGTAACAGAGGCAGCCCCTGCATCATGAGGAGGTAACACAGAAACGAAAGTGTATTTTTATTTCTTTGGAACATTTCTGTGCTGCCTTTCCCCAAGACGGCAAGCATTAGAATGCGTTAAAACAGGACACATAAATATATATAAGCACACAACCAGGGAGGAGAGTTAATAAGAGTTAGCGAGGGGACTGCTGAACAAAACAAAAAGGTAAAGAAAGAGGGGGACAAGCCGTGTTCCCTCTAAGCTGAGTTGGTGTGAGCTAGCTCACAGTTTTTTAGCCTCCGGCTCACATGTTTTTGCCTTAGCTCAGGAAGAGATGGCTCCCGAGCAAGCTAATTTGTGCAATAGTGTAGCCTGCCGGTGCCGCCCCTTCAAAGGGATCCTGGAACCAGAGGCCTAGAAGGGGGTTGGGGGCAGTGTTCTCCCTAAGCTGAGTGAGTGTGAGCTACTGCGCAGTTTTTTAGCCTCCAGCTCACACATTTTTGCCTCAGCTCAGGAAGGATGGCTCCAGAGCAAGCTATAATCTATGCAGCAGCCGAATCGCTCGCTCACAACTTTAATGCCAGGAGCGCACAAAGTAGGATTTTTGCTCATGAGACTCCGCAGCTTAGAGGGAGCATTGGACTGGGGGGGGGTCAATGTTCCCTCTAAGCTGAGTTAGTGTGAGCTAGCTCACAGTTTTTTAGCCTCCAGCTCACACATTTTTGCCTCAGCTCAGGGAGGATGGCTCCAAAGCAAACTGATTTGTGCAGCAGCCAAATCGCTCGCTCACCACTTTAATGCCAGGAGCTTACAAAGTAGAATTTTTGCTCACAAGACTCCGCAGTTTAGAGGGAGCATTGGGGCAAGCAGTGTTGCTGCTAATCCCCCCCCCCCAGTGGAGCAGTCCACATCCTGACTAGCAGAGCACAACTGCTGTAATCTTAAAATGACAAGAAAGATAAGGGGGACTTTCAGTGTGGAAGTCAGTATAGCATATAGAAAGCACCGAAGTTGATAAAGCTTTAAATATAAACCACTCTTAAATGGATTTCTATCACGCCCTTTATAACTGTGGCCCTAGTCCTGAGCGATGTACACTAGCACCTATTTATATCCGATGTAAATGTTTTTACAAAAGCATCTGCAGGGACGAACTAGAAACATACAATGTGATGCCGGTTCTACGGCAGGTCTCTTTAAATAATAGCGCCGTAGAGTTCATACTTTTACATTGTCCCTGCAGATGTTTTGGTAAAAATATTTACATCTGTTATAAATACGTGCTAGTGTACGCCACTCAGGACTAGAGCCACAACTGCAAAGGGTGTGACAGAAATCGATACAAGAGTGGTTTATATTTAAAGCTTTTTCAACTTTGGTGTAATCTTAAAATCGGCAGTGTAAGACCCTGCACGGCTCCAGATTGCTCCTGAGCAGGGACTTCCTGTATTAATGAGTGGCTGCTCACGCACACAGTTTAGAGGGAACACTGTGGGACAAATGAATCTCCTGAGGAGGGAATTCCAAAGTCTTGGTGCCATCACCAAGAAGACCCTTTTCAGGTTGCCACCCATCTAGCCTCACTCATGGGACTTTAATGGGCAAGTGGAGATTTCAGCTCAGGTCTTCCTAGTCCTCTGATCTAATTGCTGGCATTTATTTATGTCTAACAGTTCCACACCTTCCAGCATACATGGCTCCCCTTTAATTTTTATCCTCACAAGAACCCTGCAAGGTAGGGTTGGATGAAAGTGAGAACGGCTGGCTCAAGGGCGTCCAGTTCAATTCGTGACTACTTGGCTATTTATTTATATTATTTTTATCCCTTGTTTCCACCCAGCAATGTACACAATCCTCCCATCCTTCATTTTATCCTCACAACAATCCTGTGAGGTAGGTTAAGCTGAAAGACAAGGAGAGGGCAAGGTCACTCAGTGGGCTCCATTGCAGAGAGGACATTTGGACCTGGATCTCCCCATCTTTTGTTGTTGTCGTTGTTCTGTGTATTCTTGCCATCTTTTCCTAATCTCTTCTGCTTCTGTTAGGTCCCTACCATTTTTGTCCTTTATCATGGCCAGCTTTGCATGAAATGCTCCCCATCTTTGGTCCAGTATTTTTAACGCACTGCTGTCTTGGAAGGGGCAGCAGAGAAAAATGGGGGTTGATTTGGTTAATGGCCACTCAGGTGGGTAAATGGCTAGTTGCTGAGTGGGCACAGTTAGAATGAGATTTAACCATGCTTCTCACCAGCAATATAAGAGCAGAATACCTCTTTGCTGGGGACTTTCACTGAACCACAGTGCTTTAACAGGGAAGAGGGAGATGGCCCTCCCCCTGCCTTATCATCTCAGGCTATCTTAGGGAGAAAGCTTGCTTCTATGTTCAAACATGTTTTTACACCACCATTCCACCCAACTTAAGTGGCAAATAATCAAAACTGTTAAAACAGCTTTTTAAAACACTGCATCCCTGATTATAATTTTAGGAGAGGTTTGTGTGATATTTGGGATTATGCAACAACAATTTACACACTGCATTTGGACACAAAGATACAAACACTTTTGTGTTTAAGGATCCCTACAGGTTTATCTGTGAAAGAGTCAGCTGGTGCTAGCAGCAGGAGCAGAAATCAGTGTTTCAAAGCAGAATCAGACTTCAGAAAGTTTGGGAAAGAAAGCAGTCCGCTGCTTGAAATGCATTAAAGGGCTTTTTTATGCAGGGTAGCTCTCTGGATGCAATAAATCCTCCCGTTTTGTACTTTATAACGATAAAACTATAAAACGATCAATTAAGAGCCTCTCCTTGTTATTTTTTAAATCAATCTTTTTTATGTCTCCCAGATAACTGCCTTTCCATGTTTCTGTACATTATTATAAAAATATCAGGATTACGGATGTTAAATCCCCTTCATCATCAACTCATCAATCAAGGAGGCCTCATTAGCTGCAAGTCATGTATAGCAGGGACATCTGTAATGCTCTGTCAGGTTTTCTTTCAAATAACCATCCTGTTGGAAATTCTGTAAAGCATTCATTGCTTGACTATGATGGATTTTCTGTAATCCAAGTTGTTATCATCATGGGAGAAGTGGGAAAACAGAGTGATTTTTCTTTCCATGCAGCAAACTATGATGGATTTTCTGTAATCCAAGTTATCATCATGGGAGAAGTGGGGAAACAGAGTGATTTTTCTTTCCATGCAGCATTATGTTAGGGCAGTATTCCCCCCAAAAAAACTTTCTACCCATTTGGGTTTGGAAACCTGTTTGCAACCTTTTTTCTCTGTTAGCAATCTTCAGCATATCTGTCACAAGCATAGCTGTCACAGAACTCCCAAATATAGAGAATTCTGGGGGGTGTTCTAGACTGAACATTCGTTTCATATGAGGTGTTGGCTAGGACTGTTGGAATTCATCTTTATTCTAACTGAACTGGGACTGCACCGCAACTCAAATTTATGAGATCAAACTCTAGTTTGATTTGAAAGTTCTTTTTTTAAATAGTGTTGCCGTACTTGAGATGAGACTGCAGTTCTCCCCCTATCATATTAACAAAATCTGATGAATACTATTGTTAGGCCCCGGTCACATGGAGGATTTGCCGCACTAAAGGCATGAATATCAGGCGGATTTTCGGGGCACGATCACACCGCAACATCTGGGAAACATAGTGCACCCGTGGCCAACCCGTGGCATCCCACCGAAGATGTGCAGTAAAAAAGTACCTCGGAAAGTGCACTGGTATTTGGAAAACGCGGGGCAGGAGCGGGCGTCTGATCGCGGGAGCGCTAGTATCCCGTGGCATCTAGCACCTGTCCACGTCCCGTTGCAAACCGGATGTTTTTCGTAAGCGCATGTGCACAAACACATAACTGAAAGCAGTGCTGTGCATGCGCACAAACGCGAAACACTTGCCGCGCCGCTTCTTTGCCATGTAACGGTGTAACGATTAGCCGCTGGCCTTCATAAAGGTTTCACCGAACTGGGGCACTAACAGGCATCTAAATATAGTCTTTGCTATGGAGGTTTGCTACAAGTAACTCGAGAGTGGCATACTTGACCTTCCATCCAGTTTTGTTTTATTCCTGTGTGAACCTGGGATAAAACTTGTGTGAGAGTTGACTGGCACAACTGCTTTATCCTCTACTAAAATTTCCTTCCTGAAATCTGAAAGGCTTTATCAGCATTAAAGTTCCCCTTCCTTCCTCTTCACAATGATCTTATCTTAAAACAAGTTTCTAGTCCTCATGGTTCAAACCCAGAAGCAAGTAGTTGAGTTGTATGGCTTCAGTTTCCCAGCTTTCTCCTGTGGCTACCAGGCCTTTTGACTGATCCTGCTGGCTGGTTCCGCCCCATTAGCACCTAAAGGTTTCCAAAAAATATTCCATGTTCTGCAAGACCTTCAAAAAAGCAAAACAGATGGAATTTTGTGTTATTTTTTTCAACGAGAAAATTGGAGCATCTATATATATATTATACTGAAGTTGCGTGAAGCCTTTGACTTATGAGGCACTGGACAGAAACAGTGGTTTGGGGAGCTCCCACACTTTTTTCGCAACATTCCTTTATTTTTAAAACTAATTTAATTTGCCTGAAGGTGACACTTTTC